ACCTTTTTTTCTGCAATCAGCATTTGGTTTGCACTGCGCAGAATTCAAACGACTTTGAGATTTCAGAGTTGGGGAACATGAATTGGTTCAAAGCCATTCTTAATGCTTACTTGCTCTTACTTGCTCAGTTCTGATGACCAATCGCGTTTTGGTGTCGAGACATGGCGCGCGCTGCTAGATTTCGCGCAGCTTGTGATTTAACTTTGTGTTTGCAAATCTTTGTTATTCTAGATCGAAGTGGAGCATTCCTGCTGGTAATGAGACGGACATCTCAACATTAGAGACACTAATTGAAGATTCGCGGGACTGTGTAGAGGATGCCGTGCGGTAAGTTTTTACAAGTTTTTTTATAACTTGTTTTAAATCTACCTTAGTCTTTAGCGTCAAGCAGTTCTTTCTCGATGTCATCCAGTCAATTTGTCCGAAAGGCCAGAAGGGGAATATATGTACGACAGATTTCGATGATACTTTAAAGGACGTGTTTGAGGTGTCTTCTGATATTCGAACGTGTTTTCTCAGTAGCATTCATTAGCGTATCCTTTCACAGAAGTATCTGGGTTACGTGGAAAGGTGGTGTGATGCTGTAGCTCGAACCGAAGATGTTACACGTTTGTTTTCAAAACTCGAATCAGAGTGGAAAACTGCTGTGGGTTGTGCGCGACATATCCATACGGGTTTAGACCTATTAGCTTCAACGTTTTGGTAAGTGTATCATGTTCTAACTTTGAATTTATCTAGTTTTTAGTACATTCCTGCCTCATCTTTTGGATGTTCTTGTCGTGCGCTTTTGGGAGACGAATGTGGATACTATAGGTATAAAATACGGAATACGCGACTTGGATGAGGAGAGCGATAATGGCTATGACAGGTAAGCATTTGCAATTTTAGGCACGCGCCATGGTACCACATGATCCGCTTGATCCACTTCGTCCACTTCGCTATTGGCCAGCAAACTGACCAATAGAGAAACGGATAATCACTTGTTCAGCTTGGTCCACTTCTTGCATCGCTATTGCTCAGTTCATCGAGTGACTAATAGCGAAGTGGATGGACTCGATTGAGCGGATCAAGTGGATCAACTATGGCTCGCCTTACTGCATCAGGCGTATTATAATTTTCTTCTGTCTTTCATAATTGATGTTTTTCTAGCCAAACCCAAGAGCAGTTCACCATGTTCGATGCATTCCGCTCATATAATAGTGTTATACGAGAAGTAAGTCGTTGATTATCATCATTCTTGGAGTTGTATACGATTTTGCAGGTCAAAGAACGCTCAGCTAGACTCATAGCTATGCTTCGAGG